CTTCCCCACCCCACACCACCCACTTTATTGCCCTCCAACTGTCCAGCCACCCGTCTCCAAGCCTCACCTTCCCTGATCCCTCGCCTACACACATCTCTCAGATGCCATCTTGTCCAGTCCTACCCTGACCCTTCTCACCCATGGAGACATAACGCTGTAGTGTGAGCTCTAAGAAGACATGAACCAGTGTTGCTTTGTATCATCTTACCCAAACCCAGGACTGGACCAAGAGTATAGTGGTTGCTCAATAAAATTGCTGTTGATGGCATTCATTTCTAGGCAGGGAATTGCTGAGGAGGTGCACTTACACAGATGGCTCTGGTTTAGCTGTCCCACACTGGTCTTTGCTACTAAGTAGAGATTTCTTTTAGCTCTTCTTTTTTTTTTTTTATGAGTGTTGTCACGCAGCCTTTCATATCACAATAATGTTTTTTAGATTTTACCTTTAATTATGTATATATAAGAGGGGGTGTATATAAGTATAGTGCCCATAGAGGCCAGAACTTGGAACTCGAGTTACAAGTAGTTGTGAGATACCTGTATGGGTGCTGGGAGCAAACTCCAGTCCTTTGCAGGAGTAGTAAACACTCTTACCTGCTCAACCATCTCCAGCAAAATTCTAGTTCTCTTTTACAATTCCTCAAAATAAGGGAGCAGTCCAATTATCCCCAATTGTGAGTAAAATATATAAGCAACTCTAAGTAAACAGAAAAAGAAACTTCTTATGTTTGCAGATATGCTTGCCCTTGCAGGCCAGAAGTCAGGGTTTTCCTTTGCTTGCTCTCCACTTATCTTTTTGAGACAGAATCTCTGGTAAGTCTGAAGCTCGTCATTTCTACTAGATTAGCCAAGCACTGAGCACCATCACCAGCCTGGCTCCATTTTTCCAGCCCTGGAATTCCAAGCCCATACCGCCACCTCTAGCTTTTCTATGGGTTCTCAAAGTTGCGTCCTTAGGCCTGCACAGCAAGCACCTTGCTCACTGAGCCATCTCAAGTTATGAAGTAAATGTCTCACATCACTTTCTTCCCCAGAAGGTTGCCTAGTTGTCTGAACAAGGCTCTTTGAGTTTTTAATATATACAATTCTGTATTTATAAACATTAATGCAGTTGGGCATGGTGGCTCAAGCCCATAATCATGTCACTTTGAGAGACTGAGACAGAATTAGCACCAGTTCAAGGCAAACCTGGAATAAAGAGTGAAACTCCATCTCAAAATAATAATGCTGTATGTCTGTAGATCAAAAAGGAAGGGAAACTGGAGGTAGCATTCATGTTTCGGCATTTGCCTGGCTTCCATGAAGCCCTGGGTTCAAACCCCAGCACAACAAATAAAAGGAAAGTGGAGCTGGAGAGATGACTTAGCAGTTAAGAGCATCTGTTGCTCTGGCTGAGGACCCAGGTTCAGTATCCAGCACCCATGTGGTAGCTGACAGCCATCTGTTAACTCCATTTCCTGGGAATCAACACCCTCTTCTGGCCTCCACAGACCCTGCATGCATATGATGCCCAGACACACATACCAGACACACATATAGACAAAACATCTGTACACATAAGAAATCTTGAAAGTAAGAAATGCAAATCTCACACATACACACACACACACACTCCATTTTATTTTGGTTGGTTTGGCTGATGTGGTTTTGGTTTGGTAGGGTTTTTGTATTTATTGTCTTTTTTTCTGCTCTACCATCAGGTTTTAGTGTTTCAGAAAACAAAAGCAGGGGCCAACAGTGGTCCAAGTAAGAAGTTTGCATGACCTCTTGCAAGGGATCACTGGCCATAGTGCAGTGTAAAGTGAGTTAGTTAAGATGGAAGCCTGGCCAAGGGCGGTGGGTGTGAGAGGAGAGTGATAGGGGAGTTCAGCCAATCACATCCTCTTCATGGGGCGTGTTGCCCTAAGGCAAAAGTTTACCTATAAACCTGGCGGGTGAAAGCCCCCCCCCCTCGACTTGGCCTGGATCCAGCATTCCAGACAGGTGGGATTCTGTGTTTTTTCTTCTGTTTTATTAAAGCTGTATCTTTTGTAAGATAGTCTGGGGACTTTTCATTACCGATGGCACTGCGACATCAGGAGAGTCTTGACTCTGGTAAGCAGTGTTAGAAGAACTCTGCGGACAGTACAGCTCCATGCCCTGCCCCAAAAATAAGCCAAAAAGAAGAGGGTCACTAAAACAGTTCAGCCAGGGAGCACAGGCAGAGGCTCTAAATGGATGTTTTTTTGGTTTTGCTATTTTGAGATAGAGTCTCATGTAGTTCAGGCTGGCCTTGAGTTCTCTGTGTAGCCAGTGACCTTAAACTATTGATCCTCTCACCTCTGCCTTCTAAGTGCCCAAATATGGTTGGATTGTTTTGTTTTATTTTTTAAGGCATTTTTAATGAAAAAAAAAGATTTTTACCTTTTCATACAATATATTTTGATCATGTTTTTCCCTCCTCCAATTCCTCACCACCTCTCTATGCACTCAACTTTGTATTCTTCTCCCCTGCTTAAAAAATAAAGCAAAACACACACACACACACACACACACACACACACACATACACACACAAAATACAAGTGAAAATCAAACAAGAAAAAGATCAATAAGACAAAAAAAATCCCAAAACAAAGCAAAATGAGACAGAAAGACTACAAAAAATCCTATTCAGTTCATTTTGGGTTGGCCAACTACTCCTGGGCATAGTGCCTGCCCTGAGGTATGGTTAATATACACATGGAGATTCTGTTGGAGAAAACTAATTATTCCTTTGTCAGTGGATATCAATTGCAGATAGCTTCTTAGTTAGAGATGGGAGCCCATCTCCACTTCTTTCTCTTAGTGCTAGGACTCCATCTGGCTTAAATTTTTTGTATCCTGCCATAGTCTTTGTGAGTTCACATGTGCCGCAGTCCTGTTGTGTCTGGAAGACACTTTTATTGAAGTCTTCAAGTTTTCTATCACCTCTGGCTCTTAAAGCCTTTCTTCCTCTTCCACATAGCTCCCTGAGCCCTGAGGAAAGGGGTTTGGTAGAGACATCCCATCTAAATCTAAGACTCTTATTCTCTGCTCATTGTCCTGTTGTGAGTCTCTGTGTTAGTTCCCATCTCCTGAGGAAGGCACCGATCTGTGTGTATAGAAGAATGTCATCGGGAGTCATTTTACTATTGTGTTCCTGTAGGAACAGTAGTATATGATCTTGCTGTAGGCCCAGGAGCTATCTACTATCAGGTTCTTGGCTATTTTAGCAGCGTCAGGTATGGGTTCATGTCATGGAATGTTCCTTAAGTCCAATCAGGAAGTAGTTACTCCCATAGCATTCGTGCCACTGTGGTACCAATAAAATTAACTTGCAAGTCTCTGTTGTAGAACACGAAGATTGTAGCTGGGAGAGATGATAATTTCTTCTCTGATGGCATGCAGAGTACTTTGCAATACCATAAACACTAGTCAGTAGGGTGAAACCTAGTTTGGCACAAGCTCTGCCTCTCCACGTTTGATGGCATTCGTAGGTGTTCTCCTCGGTAATAGAACCTTAGCACTGGGCTGTGGAGAACAACCAATAGCCTTAACAACAGCCTGCTAAGATTGGGATTTCTAGGGGGCCCCATAGGCTCACTCAACAAGATGTAACTCATTCCTGACACTGAAGGTTTTACTTATGGTGGCATAAGATCTCTAGTTGGGGTATTGTCTCCTCTATTATTCGGCAACTCCTTTCTGGTTTCTTTCATATGATTATTTTAGGAAGCTTCTGCAGGAGTAAGTTTCCATATGGTTTCTCAAATGCCTTTTAGTATTAGTTGCCCCTCCTCGTTTTCCTTCCTTTATTCTTCTAGTCCCTTCCCTATTTAATCCTCCTATTCTAGTTTCCTCTTCGTTTCTCCATTACAGTGTATTCTGTTTCCCTTTCCTTGGGGAATCCTGTTCTTTCTCCTAGTCCAAATAGGTTTTCCCCGCATTGGGTGAATACGTAATTTGTAGAATATGACCTGCAAAATAATAGGGTAGTAAGGTAAATGTGAGACTACTTAAGAAGAGCTTGCGGTGTTCTAATGGGGACTGCACTGTGCAGTTAGTGGGTCTCAAGCCATATGATAGCTTTCATAGGGCCTAGAGGGCGCTGGCCTGGCCATCTGCATTGAGTAACATGGGTAGCCAATACCCAGCCAGATAAAGTACCTTTCTCAACCTAGAAATTAGTCATTCCTCTGCCATATAAGATATGAGTTCTCAGACAGGTATCCCAAGTCCAGGGACTTGGACATCCATATCCTGCCCTAGCCTATGAGTCTAGGTCTGTAGTTCCCAGCATCTTTCCAGCAAACTTGACGTAAAACTGTAGTGTCACTTTTGCTTCCCCTGCATAAAGCCAGACTCCCACTTGCTTTAGCCTGAGCAGTTGGTTGTAGGCCAGATTTTGTCCAGTTTACCCAGATTTTCTTCTTGCCCCCAGCTTTCATTAATTTAGTTTCCTTAGGACTGGGGTACAACTGAGTGGTAAAATATTTGCTTAGCATACTGGTGGCCCTCGGTACCATCTCCAGTACCAACGTAAGAAAGAAAAGTGATTTTCGTTATTCTACCCACCTAGCCATCTTGCCAACCCAGTCATTTAGCAAATGTTAATTATACCTACTAGTGAGTTTCATCATGACATTTTCATACATGAATATAATGTATTTTTATTACATTCATGACTGATTGCCCTTTTTGCCCCATTCTCTGTGAGTTCCTTCTTCCCAACTTGTTGCCCTCTGCTTTCATGTTACTTGTGTGTGTGTGTGACTCAGTAAGTTTCATTAGGTTATTTACAGGGTCCTGGACACTACACCACTGAAGGAAATGTTTCTTCTTCCCTCAGCAACTGTTAACTGCACTTAGGTCCTTGTTGCCTGGAAGAAGGCTTTCCACGTTTCACTCCTTCTAGCCCGTACCGTCTTCCTGCCCTCTTCACAGAGTTCCCTGAGCCCTGGAGGGGATGGGGTACATGTACTGTCTTCTCTTCCCTTCAGGAGTCAGCACTGGCAGCTGTGTGGAGCTACAGAGGAGACGTTTCTAAGCTTTTTCACTGCTGTTGTCTTGGGTGTGGGTGCTACAGTATAAACACAGGCCCTGACAGCCAGAAGCAGGAATGAAGACCGTGCTCATGGTAGCAGAAAAGCCATCCCTGGCACAGTCCATTGCCAAAATCCTCTCCCGAGGTAAGAAAAGAAAAAAATGCTAGACTGTGTGATTGTTTTAATCTGTGAGCACAGTCATTTGTGCTTTTTAGGGCATTTCTTTTTCCAAAAGTATACCTTTCCCAGTTGGTAGGTTCGGCTGGGATTGACAGGTTTTAGAAGCACCTCAGTAGCAAATCTCCTATGAAGTTTTGTTTCCACGTGTGCAATACCAGGGATGAAGCCTGCAGGAAAAACAGTGAAGTAAAAGAGGCAGTGTTTGTCATCATGCTGGACCAGTAAGGGGCAGTGCTCATAAGCACAAGAAGCAGTCCTAGAAGGAGGTAGATGAGACTGTCTTGAATTTTGCACCACTAAATACTCACTACTGCCTATTAGACCCTTGAGGTAGCTAGCGTTACATCCTCTACAGTTCATATCACTCACAAGTGGCCAGTGACTTACGAGCCAGGAAAATAGAGGAAGATTTTCCCATCAGGATCCACTCTGCAATTGAGGCCATACATAGGGGCTTGTTTCCCTCTAAATAGGAAGAGCACTTGGATCCTGGATACTGAGTACCCAGCAATGACAGACGTCCACTTTGACCTCCCAGTTGGAGGAGGAAGAGCCCCTACTTAAGCTGAGGATGCATCCAAAGGTCCAGAGGGGTACAGAAGACATCATCTCATCTCCAAGTACCAGGAGTATTCAGCTGAGGGAACATATTATAGAATATGATAATTACGAGGTTTCTGGTAACCTTAAAATCTAAATAAATGAAGGTAAAACTCAAAGTGAAAAAAAGAAAACAGAAATACGGTGAGAATCCAAGAGTCTCTGCCCCTAGTTCTCAGCCAATATAGGACTCTGGTATGAGTCACTATTAAATTTTCATAAATTCTTTTGTCCCTGAGCACCATTAAGTCACCCAGTACCTAGTTAACTGCAGTTGAGCTGGGGAAAGTTACCAGTGACTACTTTGGAGAAGGAGGACTCTTGTCCTCTGAGAGTCAACATGGAGGCTCAGGGACCCACAGCATCTGCAGCTCAACCTCACAGCTGTCTGTGTGCTTTCCTCCCCAGGGAACATGTCCTCACACAAAGGGCTGAATGGGGCATGTTCAGTGCACAAGTACACAGGAACCTTCGCTGGCCAGCCTGTCCACTTCAAGATGACATCTGTCTGTGGTCATGTGATGACCCTGGATTTTCTGGGTAAGATGATGATTCTCCTCCTGTCCCTGTCCTGTTGAAAGGAGCACTGTACAGCACTATCCATGATCCAGTTAGAGCCTGTTTCCAACAAATCATGAAGTGGGTTAGCAACTGGGTAAAGTACCATACCCATCTCTGCATGATGTGCCCTACCTTGTAGCTAGGGTTGTGACAACTGCAGAGGCTGAGCCTTTGTGAACTGTGAAGTGTGATTCAGTGTCTTCATGGGTATGGTTTACAGGAAAGTACAACAAGTGGGATAAGGTGGATCCTGCGGAGCTATTCAGCCAAGCTCCAACAGAGAAAAAGGAAGCTAACCCCAAGCTGAACATGGTCAAGTTCCTGCAGGTATGTGAGGGAGTAGGAGCTCACCAAGGAGGCCCCTCCCAGCTCCCTATATCATAGGTGCCAACAGCTGTCTTGTTGCACCATTATTTGTGTCCTCATCTACATCTTAGTACCCAAGGCTTCTTGGTGGCAGCCCTGGACCCATCTTTCTACCCTTTCTGTGAGTACTCTCTGCTGGTCCACTATCTATACCTGATTCCCTGTCCCAGACATCCTTGTGACCAGTTTTGGAGAGCTTTTATAATGGCTCAGTAAAGGGTTTTCCCAATTTTAAAATAAATATGTACAGGCTGGAGAGATGGCTCAAAGGTTAAGAGCACTCTGCTCTTCAAGAGATCCTGAGTTCAATTCCCAGCAACCACATGGTAGCTCACAACCATCTATATCTTCTGGCTTGCAGGCATATATGCAGGCAGAACACTGTGCACATAATAAATAAATAAATCTTTTTTAAAAAAAGTAAATAAATATGTAGACACTATTTTTTAAAAAACTAAAAGTAAAGATAAATTTAAAGAAGAAAAAAGTATAACCACATGATCCAAAACAACCACTATTAATATTTCAGCTCATTGAATGTTTATTTAGGTCGGGGCATTAAGGTCATATTGTAGGAGAAAAAGAGGGTTAGTGAAAGTGAACAAGAAAAATAATGGGGTTGAATATAATCAAAGCATATATGTGTGTGTGTGTGTTTGTGTGTGTGTGTGTTTGAAAATATTAAAAATAAAACCTTCAATAAGTTTGCTTTAATCCTTTATTTCCCTCTGAAAATTAAGGAGCACATATGTTTTGTGGCCACATAATAAAAGTAAGTATTTTTAAATATCTATCATAGGGGCTAGAGAGATGGCTCAATGAGTAAGAACACTTGCTGCACAAACATGAGAACCTGAGTTTGGATCCCAGCACCCGTGGTGAGTGCTGTGGAGTGCAGAGGCAGAAGGATTACTGAGATTTGCTGGCCAACCACATACCTCCAGGGTTAGCAAGAAACCTTGTCTTAAGGGGATAAGACAAAATGGTAGAGCAAAATATCCAGAAACCTACTCTGTCCTTTGCCAGCAGGTTTATGTACCTGCACAGCCTTGCACATACACCACACCACATGCAGAAGTGTAGCTACAAATATTCTCTGTCCATTGGTGCCCCTGGGCCAAGTTTTCTCCACTGCCTGTTCCCAAAGCTGCTTAGAAAATAACCAGTGTGCGGCTTAATATTAATTACATACTCTTTGGCTCATTAGCTCACGCTGCTTATTAACTCACTCTTACATCTTTAATTAACCCATTTCTGTTAATTTGTGTATGGCCACAAGGCTGTGGCTTACCAGTAAGGTTCTGACATCTTTCTCTTTTGGCAGCTACATGGCGTCTGCCTGACTCTGCCTTCTTTATCTCTTCATTCAATTTAGTTTTCCTGCCTACCTATATTCTGCCCTGCCATAGGCCAAAGCCTTTATTAACCAATGGTAATAAGACATATTCACACCATACAGAGGGGAATCCCACATCATCTCCTCTTTTTTGTCTAAGTAAAAAAGAATGTTTTTAACTTTAACATAGTAAAATTACATATAACAAAACAGTTATCAAGCAAGAATTATAGAACAATATTTAGTCCATTTCCATTTGGCAAATTAAGAAAGATACTCTATCCTATCTTTGTAAGTCTAAAGTTCTATATCTAATTCATCTTCCATCACAACCAAAGAAAGCTATAATTATAACTATTTGTCTTCAACTCCATCAAAGACCCCAGAAGGACGTAATATTACCCAAGTAAACAGGAAATGTTTTGTAAGAAACTTCCAAAGTTTAGAATTAACAGAGACATCTTGCTGCCTGGACAGTCACCCAAAGTTCTTTTGTAACATTGAGGCATCCATCTTCAGCCTACAGGCCCATAGTATCTGACAGACTTTTCATTGAAGCAGGAAATTTGAAAGATTGTTTCACCTATATTGGCAGTTTATATCCTGCAGAATGTCTGGGAGCCTCTTTCTTGAAGCTGGAACCCTGAAGGACTGTCTCGTGTTTAGACAAGTTCAGCAGTCACTTTTCTGTGGGTCCTGCATGTCCAGTTTGTACAGCAGATCGTCTAGCAGTCCAGGCAAGAGCGGTTTCTTACCCACATGGCTAGCAAACTCGTAAGGAGCCTCTTTGATGCCTCCTGAAGTAATTGGCACTGCCAGAAGCAGACATGTCTCACTGTCGAGAAAAGTCTAAGTTCTTAAAACCTTTAAATGCCATATTCTGTAGATCTTTGAAGTGTTGAAGATTATCTTACTGAAATATGTCTCTGTACATCTAGAAAACCTAACTAGCATGACTACAAGTTTGACTATAATAAATGACTATCTATTAATCCATAATTTTTAATTATACATTACATTTTTAAATGAGCTGTATAAAAATAGTACCTTAAATAAGAGTAGAAATATACATATAACTAAATTGACCTTAAATTTATAGCAATATACCAAAGTCCATACCAATGTATTCATTTCTATATCACAGAAGGATTGATCATATTGTAATTATAATTTTTTGATCTAACAATATGATAGTTCTGAACCAAAATCTTTTCTGAGTTCTAAGATAGCCTCACTTCAGACAGCTCCTTGCTCATCCAGGCTTGGTCCTCCACCTGACTTCATCTCCTGTCCGAAAAGGGAATGCTACAGAGATGGTTGTCAATGTGTGATTTGTGACAGGTGGAGGGCAGAGGCTGTGACTACGTCGTGCTGTGGCTGGACTGTGACAAGGAAGGCGAGAACATTTGCTTTGAGGTGAGTGTGAGGAGCACTCTGGTTCCCTTTAGACCTTTTCCTCACCCTTCCTGACCTGAGTTTGTCACTATTCTTCAGGCTAGCATAGGGAGTATAGTGGCTTTAAAACAAAAGTCTTCTCCCACTCTCCGTTTCAGAAAATCTGTAGCTACTTTAAAATGCATAGACCTAAGGCTGGAGAGATGGCTCGGTGGTTAAGAGCTGCTCTTACAAAGGACCCAGGTTTACCCTCTGTAATTCCCAGTTCCAGAGCATCTGATGCCCTCTTTCTGACCTCCCAGGGTGCCAAGCATGCACATGGGGCACATACATACATATGGGCAAAACACTCATACACATAAAGTGAAATAATTATTTTTTTAATTCATAAACTAGATGGTTCCTCAGGTAAAGGCGCTTGCTACCAAGTCTGACAACCTGAATTCAGTTCCCAGAGCCCCACATAATAAGAGAAAGCCAACTCATGAAAGTTTTCCTCTAACCTCTATACTCACACCGTGTCACATAAACACACATACCAATATTAATATTTTGTTGTTGATATTATTATTATTGTCATCACTTTATATATATTTTTTAAAGCCCCATTCTGGGTCAGTACAAATTTCCTAGTTTTCAGTGTTTGCCTAGCTCCATGCCTGTATCAGACCTTTAGTTGCTGTAGTAATCTTCTTGGCAATCTCCTAATACATATGAGTGTTTTGTCTAGATGTGTGTGTATGTACTGTGTACAAGTCTGATGCCCTCAGAAATCAGTAAAGAGTATCAGATTTCCCAGAACTCGAGTTACTCGTGGTTGCAAACCTGAGTCCTCTGCAAGAGCAAGTGCTCTTAACCAAGGAGCCATCACTCCAGCCCCAGGCTCACCTCCCACCTTCACATGTCCTCTGCCCTACTTATCCTTGGGAGCCCTGCCTGTACAGGCTGGTGAAGGTTTTTGATGTGCCCTCTGTAATGACACTTTAATGCTGCTGGCTATGCCTGCTGTTCCTACTAGTGCCCCTCGTGCTGTGGCTCCATACAGGTCACCTCTGTGTCCTTATGTTCCAGCCCTCCCTGGCAATTGACATACTTAAATGCAGGAGATGGTTCCAGTAAAACAGGAATTCAGGGTACCCAGCATTCTCGTATAGCTCTCCTAGCAAACTTAATTCCATACTGTCCCTTCTCAGATACCTGCTTCTCTCCTTTCCCTGTCCACTCACAGGAGTACACCCTCTGGGGCTAGAAACAATAGCAGCTCATGGGTCCTGCTTTCCCTTCATGATGTCACTGCATGTCCCACCTTCTCTGGTGGCTTTCCTCCCTCTGTATAGCCTAAGCCTCAATTCCAGGGCCACATAGCTCCCACACACACATAAGGTCTGCGGTAACCTTCCCATTCTTACACATTTTCTCTTTTCCTTGTCTTCTCCTGTCATGTAAAAATTCTGCCTATCCATCTAAGCACCCCCTACTTCCAGAAAAGGGAAGGGGTTTGGAGTGTGAGGTCCTCTATGTGCTTGGCACTGGCACTCACTGGTTGGTTTGGATAAAAGCACAAGAGAAGTGAAAGAGGGTAGTGGCTGTGGGGCAACACTAAGAAAGGAACTGGGCTAATGGGGTGGGTGGATATCTTATCTGGAAGTGTATGCAAGCAGAGAGAGAGAGAGTCAGCCATGTGATAAGGGATTTGTGGGGAGTCAGAGTTGTCTAGAAGGACAAAGGGATATAGGGGGACCTAGGATGGGTGGGGAAAGATTAGCCCTGGAAAGGGCTAACCCTGCAGTGGGGCCAAACAGTGAAAGACAGGGATGTAGGAATTAATCACAGCCAGTGTTCTTCCTCCCAGGTTCTTGACGCCGTTCTGCCTGTCATGAATAATGCCCACAGTGGTGAGAAGACAGTGTTCCGGGCCAGGTTCAGTTCCATCACTGACACAGACATCTGTAGTGCCATGACCCGCCTGAGCGAGCCAGACCGCAATGAGGCACTCTCAGTAGATGCCCGCCAGGAACTAGACCTACGCATCGGCTGTGCTTTCACTAGGTGCTGTTTCCTACCACATGCACATAATGCCCCTTGAGCTAGGGTACTGTCTTGCCAAGGGCTTTCGGAGCCTGCATAAGCAACCAGAGATACCTTTTTAAAGAAAAAAACTCAATAAAATTACATATTTATCAGGTGCACATCACATAGGCCACAACTTCAGAAGCAGATTATTTGTGTGCATTCTATCCTCGCTCCATCCTATGCACACAGAATGAACATCCTGCTCTTTGACGCTTCCTGCTCTGTCACTTTTGCTGTCTTCTAAGTGAAGAGCATCCTCCTTGTGTGACCTCTCTAAGCAAAACGAGCAGATCCACAAGCTGGGTTTGCTTAGGATTTGTCTAGAATGAATTGCTGATCCGCCATTTTTATCTCTTCCCCAATCCTATAGGTTCCAAACAAAGTATTTCCAGGGAAAATATGGAGATTTAGACAGCTCTCTCATCTCCTTCGGACCATGTCAGACTCCTACTCTGGGATTCTGTGTGGAAAGACATGATAAAATCCAGTCCTTCAAACCAGAGACCTACTGGGTGCTACAGGCCAAGGTTCTCCTCCCTTCTATTCGTGTTGTGTTGTAGGTTTGAGGTGTGAACTCTGAGAGTTTTCCTGGTCAGCATCAGCACTTCATTAACTCCAGGCTGAGTCCACAAGTGTGGGTTACAGTACCAAACAGTTGTTGGTCCCAGTGCCCAGGAGGAAGAGGCGCCAGCTTTCATGGGGACAGCAGGCTGGACTGAACCTAGATGCATTAAATTTGGATAAGTAGGAGTGAGTTCCCTCTGGGGGTGTGAGGTGAGGTCAGCCATTCAGCTGGTGTCTGCAGTGGGGAAGTCCAAGCATAGGATGAAGACTGTGCTTTCAAACTTCCCTCCTAAAGCATAACAGAGGTTTAAAACAGTACAGAGTTCTGGTTACCTCCAGGGCTGGGGACTGTGTGGGGATGGGAGAGGCACAGCTCTGTTAAGGGTCCACCAGACTAGGACTGTCTGGTGCTCAGTGGATGAGAAGAGTGGGGTATCAGCTTTGGATCCACAGTCCAACAATGAGACATCAGAGCTAGACCATTTTGCCTGTGGACAAAACCAGCCTCCTCTGCCTTGGTTTTCTTCCCTGCAGTGTGCTTTCCTTTTGTCTCTCCTACAGGTTCATACCAATAAAGAGGAGTCTCTCCTTTTGGACTGGGACCGCGTTAGAGTGTTCGACCGGGAAATTGCGCAGATGTTTTTAAACATGACAAAGTCAGAGAAAGAAGCTCAGGTATTCTTTCTCTGTCCACATTTGTCTTGAATGGGCAGGCCCTAGAAACCTGTGATCAGAAGAATCACTGTGACGCTGGGCCATGCCTTTCTGCCTTTTGTGAAATGCAGATGGCTTCTGGACAAATGTCACACGTACGTTCCTAACATTCTTCTGCCAGTGCAGCAGCTGTGAAGTACTGCCTCAGGTGCTGTCCACACCTAAGACACTCCAGGGCCATTTCTGCTGTCTCTTCCCCCACTCCCAGGTGCCAGGTCTCCTCTGGCTGGACTCCATTTCACACAGATGTTTCTTTTCTACAGTATCCAAAGCTACCAGCTGCAGACAGACATTTATACACATTGGTGGGCTTGCCTGAAGTCACACATCTAGAAGGATATAGGTCTGAGATCTCATATTCAATCAATTTTCACACTTGAGTGGTAGTATTTCTTACTCGGGGCTTTTTTATATCAGAGGGGTCTGCTTTTTGGTGCTTGGAAAGGTGGTGCTGCTCAGCAAAGACTGCGCAGGCTGGAGCAGGTCCTACAGCTCCACAGCTGATCATCACTGAGCCACTTCAGGCCTCCTCCGGTCACATTCTAATTCCGTTTCTCAAGCCTTGTTTTGATGCCATTCTGCTCAGGCTCTGCTGTTCCATGGTGGTGATGTCAGGACCCACCCTCAGGAACCCTAACCTCCAGTGCCACATGCACACAAATATCCTCAGTGTCAGCACCTGTAATTGTTGGTCTGGAATCCAGAATGTGTTACCTGTCCAGTCTGTGTGAGCTTGGTAAAGGCAAGAGACTGGCTGCTTTGTTTGGATTATTTTCACAGTAGGCAAAACAAAGAGTCAACTTTTCTATGGGTATGTTACCCCATAGTGAAAAGTAATAGCTCACCAGACAAACAGGGCCCATAGATAATTTCAAAATGGTTATCATTGAGCAAATGGGAGATTTAGCATAGAAATCATGACTTGCAGCTTCCTTTAAAAAATAGGAAGGTTTTGCAATGCTAGGGGCCCAGTTGACAGCACTCACAAACAGCCAGCAGCAGCCATTTCCCTTCCACACCCCACAGGCTACTCTGGGGCTCGGCCTATGCTGACTTTGGTGGGATTTACATCTGCAGCCCCTTCCCCATTCCTCCACATTTTCTTCTTCAAGGAAAACAGAATGTGTGTTTCTTATTTCTCCTCTCCCCTTGCTTTCTTGATTTAAATACTCAGTTCAGTTGTCAGACTGCTGGGGGAAGTGAATTTCAGAAACAGACCAAATTAATTAGTTTAGACTTTTGTCCACACATTTTAATTCTCTTATGGCTTCTTCATCTTGCCAAATGTTCCTCCATCTGTCCTGTCCTCAGGTGGAGGCTACAAGCAGAAAAGAAAAGGCCAAGCAGAGACCACTTGCTCTAAACACAGTGGAGATGCTGCGTGTGGCCAGCTCAGCTCTGGGTATGTAGAAGCATTTCCCTAAAGCTCCCCAAAGACATCTCTAGACCAGCATAGGGCAGAGCCAGTATCTTAACCCATACCAAGCACCTCTTATGATATGATGTTTGAAGCTTTGGGGATGGGATCTTAAGTCTCATGTGAGTTTCCTTTCTCCGTAAGTCCTAGAGTAGGACTTCTGTAAGCACTGCTTCCATAGGTATCACAAGAGTTAAGTTGAAAAATCGGTGGTCTTTGACAGTTGTATCCTAAAGCACTGTCTTGGCAGAGCTCCCAGGGCAGAGAGCAATAGGACAAGCTCTCTTAGAGTACAGAAGCCTGGGGGCACAGAACTGAGGTGTGTTCAGCTACCCAGAGGTCAGAGTTCAGACTGTGTCATCAGCGCCACTATGAGCACTGTAAATTGGTACCATGGAGCAGTAAGCAGTGTTTCCCATTGGGCCCATCTTTGCAGACAGGCTGTGTCCCAAGTACCCATCCAGCCATTACCTCTGAGCCCTGGCAATACCCACTAAGAGCTCTTTGCCCTCTTAGGAGGTGCTGGCCTATTTGGGGGAAAACAAGAATGCCCAAGCCTGTGGGTGAGTTCCAGACCTCTGAGCCTCCTGTATTTTGGCAGGTATGGGACCGCAGCATGCCATGCAAATAGCTGAGAGGCTGTACACCCAGGGCTACATCAGCTACCCACGGACAGAGACCACCCACTATCCCGAGAACTTTGACCTGAAGGGCTCTCTGCGACAGCAAGCCAACCACCCTTACTGGGCAGACTTGGTGAGTGGAGTGGGCCTTGCCCTGCATAGCCCATTAGCTGTGGCCTCTGGACAGGCTTTGACCAAATCCAAGACCAGTGGGAAGCAGTCAGCCTGGCTTGACTCTGCTTTGCCTTCCGTCCCTTAGGTAAAGCAGTTGTTAGCCGAAGGCATCAATCGCCCACGGAAAGGCCATGATGCTGGCGACCATCCTCCCATCACACCTATGAAGTCAGCTACAGAGGCTGAATTAGGTATTGGGTACTCCTCTTCCCAGCGTCCTTACACTCCTCAAGCTTCCAGGGTGGGAAGGGCAAGCTGCTGCAGGCACATGGCACCAGTGGACAGGGCCAGGCCTTTTATCAGTACAGCTCTTCCTCAGCCTGTCACTGGCTTAGTGAAGCTCTCATCACCAAGCACCTAAGACAGAAGTGAAGTGATTGTAGCTGCTTGGGGAGAAGCCAGTATACAGACAGCCTTGTATTAGGGAATGAGGCAGAGTAGCAGAGCTCAGAGGTAGACTGTACCTCCTACCTAGCCTAAGGCTGTTCTGATGACTCTGTTCCAAAACAATGCCTGTAGAGAAGGGAGAGCAGTCTACTGGAAACATAGTAATTGGGTCACCCAGGCAGCAGGGGCAGCTTCCTTTGCTGTATTTACTCCTCCGTTCAGACTTTGAGGCTGGGAATAAGACTTAAGACATGGCTTTTGCCTAATATGTGCTTATGGCCCTACGTTCAATCCCTGACATCATAAATATGCATACATCCTTGGTACCCATGCCAAGACCCTGTTGTTAGTCCAGGGCACCTGGTAACACTCAGTCTTCACAGGGGGTGATGCATGGCGACTGTACGAGTATATCACCAGACACTTCATTGCCACAGTCAGCCATGACTGCAAGTATCTGCAGAGCACCATCTCCTTCAGAATTGGACCTGAAAAATTTACATGCTCGGGAAAGACAGTCATCTCCCCAGGTAAAATGGCAGGTCCTGGGGTCCCTTTCTTCTCATCTCCACAGACACATGGGATCCCTGATGGGAGGCCCAGGTGGGGACCTCAAATGGCAGTGGTATCTCTCTAGGCTTCACAGAGATCATGCCTTGGCAGAGCGTGCCCCTGGAAGAAAGTCTGCCCACATGCCAGAAAGGTGACACCTTCACTGTGGGTGAGGTGAAGATGCTAGAGAAGCAGACGAACCCACCAGACTATCTGACTGAGGCTGAGCTCATCACACTCATGGAGAAGCACGGTATCGGTGGGTACCCAGATCTAGGGTTTCCATTCCCAGGGCCTGGGCCAAGAGGTGATGCTAGTAAGCCTGTCCATGATCCATATGCATCTGGCTCAGCGTGTGGTCACAGGTGCCCAGTATATGACCCATGGCTCCAGGCTGACTCTGAGTAAAGCTGTTTACAAGGCCTTTACATCTGGACCTGGCCTTCCATATGAAGACTGTGATACAGCCTTGTGCACCATGGGACCGGTACACACTGACAAGTCAAGTGCCCACCAGACTCAAGGTTAGCCCAGGATTCTGAAGGATTCCTGAAAGAGATCAGCAGCATCCCCAAAACACACAACTAACTGGGCAGGCTTACCCTAGAATTCTGGTCTGGGTCTGCTTCTCCCCAGGGCCTAGGTGCCTGAAGTAACCTGAGAGTAAGCTCAGCCTGCAGCGAGTTCCCATTGATGGCATAGCAAAATGCTAAGAACCTTTTCCACATCCTTGACTTCTAATAGCCACATGTGAGACTGTTCTGGACCCAAGGACCAACATACACTTCAGTGAACAGAGTTCTTATGTGAACTTCTGAACAGGAAAGTGAGTGAGGGCGGTGCTGTTGAACAAGGTCCATGGGCAAAAAGGCTTCCCTACCTGGGCATACTGACTCATCTGTAATCCTAGCACTTAGGAAACTGAGAAAGAGTGCCACAAGTTCAAAGGTAGCTGAGGCTGTGGAGTGAGACTCTGTCTTCTTCTTCTTTTTTTTTTTTTTTAAAGAAAAAAAGGATCTGGATATAACAACCATCCAGGAACTCTTGCAGGTGCAAACTGCCATGATTGGGGCCAAGACCTACCCTTACCTATGAGCCATGGAACCTCTGAAGACTCCCTAACTCCCAGTGCCAGTATATCCCCTGTAAAACTTGCTCATAGTACCCTATGCCAACACTAGGAAGTGTGCAGTCAGTGTTAAGTTCCATTTTCATATCCTCTGCCCAGCAACAGCAGAATGCCTCACCTTCCACCTCTCAATCAAGAAACTTCTGCAAGGTGAAATAAGCTGCATCCCTGGAGTAGGAAGCATGCCTTGGGTGTTGCCCTGGTTCAGCAGTAGCTTTATAAACTCTGTTTGGGAGAAGCTGGACCCTGACATCTAGAGGGCATAGGTAGAAAAGGCCAAGTTGTATTTAATGGTTTCAGGAAATGTCCTCTGACTCTGTTAACAGCCCTGAGCCTCTGTCTTCTAACTACAAAACTAAAATAAACACCAGTGAAGGCTGTCCTTGGGTTCACAGCTGTGCCAGCACAGTGCAGAGACAGCCCTGCTCTGTCTTGGGAACCTTTCTGCATCATGGCTTCTGGCAGCCATACAGGAGACAGCAGCCTGGACCCAGTGAGCAAAATAAGCTTCAGTTTGTGACATGATGCTCCTTCCATGATGTCTGGGAGGGTCCGAAAAACAGGGTTCCTCTGACAGGTGGATGAAACTAGAGTGCATAGTCCAGAGCATCTGTTGGGGCAGGCTGAGGAATACCCAGAGCCATGCTGTGCATTCCAGGGACTGATGCCAGTATCCCTGTGCACATCAACAACATCTGCCAGCGCAACTATGTCACTGTGGAAAGTGGCCGCCGGCTCAAGCCCACCAACCTTGGCATCGTCCTGGTACATGGTTACTACAAGATTGGTGAGTCTAGGCTCCTCCCTGTGCTGTGGCTCTGCTGACTTCCTGCAGTGGCCCTGTACTCCTCATCCATTTCCCCAGTCCCTACAACATCTTTGCAGTGGGGATTTGATGAATGAACAGATTATAATGGGTCCAACAGAGTTCTTCTGCAAACCAAACCTGTGTTCTTCACTAAGATACCCACCAGGCTGCCCACTAAAGTGTGCCCCCAGTTCTTTGGGAAATGGAAGAATGCACCACAGACCTGGCCATTCTGCACAGAAAAGTCTGATGGCAATAGGAGCTACCCTTGATGCCTTTCCACTCTGTAGACAAACAGTCCAAGGGGAACCCAGGAAGACTGGGTCAAGCAAGACAGCAGGTCTTGCCTGCCTATTGCAGTGGCAGGTCCCAGGTGCCAATGTCCACAACAGCATCTACTCATTGGCTTATAGATGCAGAGCTGGTACTCCCCACCATCCGCAGTGCAGTGGAGAAGCAGTTGAATCTGATTGCCCAGGGCAAAGCTGACTACCACCAGGTCCTGGGCCACACCCTGGATATCTTCAAGAGAAAGTTCCACTATTTTGTTGATTCTATTGCTGGTAAGTCTTGCCTCTCCCCTGCCCCTCATCAGCAGCCATTCCAATAGGATAGAGCCTCCTGAGGCTCACTGCCAACTCTGGGCTCTAAGGTGCTGCGGGTCACAGCAATAATGTCTCCTCATTGGTTGTTGTCTGGAGCAGGTTAATTAAAGTCTACATCAGGGATACACAAAGCTGATGAACAGGGCTACAGCTCCATAGTCTATCACTGACAGTCACCCTTGGACCATTGACCATGTATGCTGGCCTAGAGAGGCCAGCTGTAGTTTACCTAGTTCCGCTAACTCACCTGTTGGAGGGAGGGCTGCCGAAGACCAAGAGAGACATTACTCCTGTGCTCTATTTGTTCTCAGGCATGGATGAGTTGATGGAGGTATCCTTTTCACCCCTGGCTGCCACGGGCAAGCCCCTCTCACGTTGTGGGAAGTGCCATCGATTTATGAAGTATATCCAGGTATGTGCAGCTTGAAGGACCACAGCCACTTCTGCCCACAGTATTCCTGCACAGGCATCAGCTCAAGCTCTGCTTTGTCATTAGTCATGCAGAAATAATGTTCACTGCCTCCATTGTCACACAGAATGACTAAAAGGCCTGAATTAGCACCAGCAGCAACATAAACCACAGGCTACATACACAGTGACCATTCACTCTTGCCACTATTTCGCTTTCCCTGAGATGGGATTTCCTTGTGTAGCCCTGGCTGTTCTGGTACTTGCTCTGTAGACCAGGCTGGCCTCAAACTCACAGATCCACCTGCCTCTGCCGCCTAAGTGCTGGGATTAAAGACATGCGCGCGCCACAACCACCCACTGCCATCATTTCTCTTGCTCATGAATATCGTTAACATTCCGGGGCTTTACATTTTCTCTCTCTCTCTCTCTCTCTCTCTCTCTCTCTCTCTCTCTCTCTGTGTGTGTGTGTGTGTGTACATGTGGAGGTTAGAGAATGACTTGTAGAAGTCAGTTCTCTCTTTCCATCAAATGGCTTCTAGGTATTGAACTCAGGCTTAACATCCAGCACCTTTATCTGATGAACCATCCACCAGCCCCTTGCTGGGTCTTTAGAATCCATGCCTTTGAGAGGGAGTTAGGAAAGGGGAGGTGTGTCACGGGGCTCACTCCAGTAGTTGAGAGGTCCTTGCCTGACACCGAACTGTACAATCGATGTATCTGTTAGGTATTCCACATTTCCTATCCAGTGTTGTGAAGTGGAGGGATAGGGAAGAGAGTCAGACCCAACAGCACTCATCCCCTCTTACTGTCCCATCCCATAGGCCAAGCCAAGCCGCCTACACTGCTCCCACTGTGACGAGACCTATACCCTCCCCCAGAATGGTACCATCAAGCTCTACAAGGAGCTGCGGTGCCCATTGGATGACTTTGAACTGGTCCTGTGGTCCTCAGGCTCCCGGGGCAAGAGCTACCCACTATGTCCCTACTGCTATAACCACCCACCCTTCCGAGACATGAAGAAAGGTGAGTATGCCCCATGACTGTTCCCAGCTTTATACTTACCAGACTCCCATGAGTCCCTTACCCATCCTTCCTTACTTATACCCACTAATACTGAGTCAGGAGATACTTGTGCCACAGCTCTGGCACTGGCCAGCCTGTCTGCCCTGGGTATGTCTGGGTCATAATTGAGCAAGTAATTGGCTTAGGATCTGGGCAGGGAGCAAACTCTGCCCCAGGGCCTGAGCTAAGTAAGAGGCAGGCAGCCTCAGATAGTGACACCTGACAAACAAAGCCCCCTAGGCTCTCAGACACTACTGTTGTCCTCCTTTGCACTCTTTGCTGGAATAAAAGAGAGCATGTATCCAGACTAAGCAGAGCATGCCACCAGAGGGGCTCACTGTCCAGCACACTTACCCACTCTCCAGTGGTACCATCCCGTCTCAAACTGGGAGCCAGCATCTTTGTACATGGCTTTTATCAGAAATCCTCAGGGTCTCAGTCTGCTTTCATGCTGCCAAGATAATAAGGCTCTCTTCCTCCCCACAAGTGGCTTAGATAAGTACCAGGTGATTGGAGGGCAAACTAGAACAGTCATTAGTATAAGCTTCAGAAGCAAAATGAGGATTTAGGGGTCCAATGGAATCCTCAGCGTTGAGGACTGAACATTTTTAAATAGGCAGAAACTAGATTGATAATACTTAGAACTCAGGCCAGTATGAACAAGATGCCCCCAAAGCAGGTTAAGAGTGCGGCTTTGTTCTAGAACAGGATCCAGCCATCTGACATTGAAGGGAGCCAGAGATGAGGGAGCCAGGGCAGGTTTAGGTTACTGGACTCTTCTCCCCTCAGGCATGGGCTGCAATGAATGCACACACCCTACCTGCCAGCACTCACTGAGCATGCTGGGCATTGGCCAGTGTGTGGAGTGTGAGAATGGAGTCCTGGTTCTGGACCCCACCTCCGGTCCCAAGTGGAAGGTGGCCTGCAATACATGCAATGTGGTGGCACACTGCTTTGAAAATGCTCACCGAGTCCGGGTATCAGCTGACACCTGCAACACCTGCGAGGCCGCCTTGCTTGATGTAGACTTCAACAAAGTCAAGTCTCCCCTTCCTGGCAACGAGACACAGCACACAGGCTGCATCTTCTGCGACCCCGTCTTCCAGGAGCTGGTGGAGCTGAAGCATGCAGCCTCCTGCCACCCCATGCACCGAGGTGGTCCTGGAAGGAGGCAGGGTCGTGGGCGTGCCCGGGGCCGGAGACCTCCAGGAAAACCCAACCCCAGGCGGCCAAAAGACAAGATGTCAGCCCTGGCTGCTTACTTTGTATGACAACCCATCTTCCCTCACTCGAGCTCAGTGTAGACACATCATGGTGGTTGCCTTTGAGCCACTGAAACTATTAAAATGCTTTTTATTTTGTATTCTCCGGAGCAAAAAGCCTGGGGCCTTTTACTGGTGAAAGGAGGGGGAGCTATATCTATGGAAACCTGTGAGATTCTCTTTTACCCTCTATTCTTTAAAGTTTAAAGTGTACCCTACTCTGGCCACACCATGCAGTGCCAGCAAGAACACCATCACACCTGATGGGAGCAATCAGTCGTAGCTCATACCAAGTATGTACATGTACAGTGGTGTAGCTGTGTACAACACAAGCAGTAGGCACTCTAAGGTTAGCAGGAAGATGGGCATCAGCAGCCCAGAGAAGTCTTGATGAGCCAGGTGAAATATTCAGCCTGGTTTCTAATCCTTTGCTCACTGCCTATAGCCTAGCTTCCTGATCCCTAACCCATGTTGTTATGGCCACCACTCAGAAACTTCAAGTTTGGCATGTAGAGCCTGTGTGTGACTCTGGTAATGGTGTGGGTCTGTTTTGAATCCTGTTCTCATCATGAGTCTGTATTGCCTCAGGCGCTGGGTACCCCATTAAAGCTGGTCAGATGTCAAGTCCAAAAAATACTCTGTAAGCCAACCAGACTGTAGTAGGTAGGTGTAGCTATAGGGCACCTTTCTGACCGTAACCCCTTCCTGTGTCCCCTTCTCCACCCATTTCACCTGTTTTAGTTGTGATAGAAACTGAGTGCCCTCTGGCCATGCCTAGCAGGGGCTCAGCAAGCCAGCCGCCCTAGAATGCGTGGTTGGGAGGTGGCCGACAGCACTCCTCATAGGAGCCCTTCCTCTGCAGCAGGTTCCCAGTCACACAGGGCAGGTAGACTCATGAGAAAGCCAGAAGACACCTAGTTAGTTGTTCATGTAGCAGTCGGTCCACATAGCCCACCAGGATGTCCCACCTGATCCCTGACAACCAAGGAAGATCATACAACAGAAGAGGTAATACCTTGGGAAAGCTGCCCGGAGACTGGACAGGAAGCTGCATAGAAGTTGCTGGAATGTGTCCCAGGAATAAAAGTTGTAAGAAAAAAAGAATACTCAGAACCTGTCCTCTCCATTCCAGTCATAATCTAGGACCTTAATAAGGCCACATGTCTAGCACAAGGCTGTGTCTCTGCTGTTCAGCCCATTTGGTCCAATTCTGTCCTGAATAGACTGCAGGAAGGCAGCTCAGTTATGTGGTTAGTTTGGGCTTAGGGAAAAGACTGTCCTATAGGCCATAAGCCCAGACTACTGTATAAAACTCTACAGTGAGGTTTTAACCATAGGGGCTTCTTAATGTATCCTGTAGTTTTCCCCTGAAATTGTCCCTTTTGTGTGGAACTGCCCTGTAAACCTGATCCCTCACCTTTCATCCTCAGCAGTGTCCAGCCTCTTAGCCTTGCCAGCCTGCCAGCTGGGAACAGTTAGGACGAGGGGTGAGTCGTGTTCTAAGCCTAAATGCCTTTGGAGCAGCTGTGTTTCTGGCATCAGCTCTTCTGCTCTGCAAGCTGATGAGGTCAGAGCTGCCAGGTGACCTGTGTTGAATGAGGCAAGCGAGATCTCAAACTGGCCCTCCTTGTCTTTACTTGTCCCCCACTGTCATTGCAGATACCATTTCTGTTACCTTGGGTTTGCAGTGCACGCTGACATGAGGAAGTCTGTTTCCTTAAATGCAGCACCCTCCCAGCACTGTAGAAGTGCCATGGACCTACCTATACATCATTCCTTCCTATCCATATGAGAACAATCAGTACCCAAGAGGGAGCCAGCCACCTATCACTGAGAGTTTTTAAAGCCAGAGTGTGATGTGTCTGGTGAGATGGGCTGATGTGACAGGGAGGTTGTCGCCACCTGCAGAATGCTCAGAGCAGGCTTCTGGAAAAGACTTTAAGGAAGCAGGGAGAGAGACATGACCGGGAGATCTGGGACCTGCTGGCGTTACCCTACAGCTTGGGTGTCCTTGCTGGAGAAGCACAGGTTTGGGCTAAACTAGTTGGTATAGCTAACGAGTAAAAGCTGTAAGCTTCGGTAAAAGGGAAGACATTAACTACGTTGGAAGCAGGACAAAAGGAATGTTGTGGGTATGTCCTTGACCTAGAGCCTAACGAGGTAAGTTCCTAGTGCCTACCTTGGCTGTCACCTCTGAGCCATCGTCCTCAGTGGTCTCAAACCTTGCTCAGATTGAATGAAGCACTACTGTACTTGCACGGTGACAGTCTCCCCATGCACACCCACCCACCCCTGGTACCCACACCATGGAGGTGATTCCTTTCGAAGCAGTCATCCATTCGTTCCCTGAAGCCTTCCAGTCTAGGATTCCCTGAGACCTTAGTTCCCTGAGTCAGTGTGTTCTGATGCTATGTACTTGTTAGCGCAGTTCTGAGGGGTAAACAAATTGTTACAAAATTATAAGCCTCTCACAACAGATTAATTTGCAGAATTTCTTTTGTAATGTCACTTGAAACCAACCTTGTTTTTTTGTTTGTTGAGACAGGGTTTCTCTCTGTAGACCAGGCTGACCCCAGACTCACCAAGCTCCACATGCCTCAGGCTCCCAAGTGCTGGGTTTAAAGGTGTGTGCCACCACCACCTAACCGCCATGCTTGTCTTTAAGGCTGCCTTTACTACCCAATGTAGTAAGCGAGTGTTTTCATTTCCTGTTTGATAGCCCTGGCCTCAGGCTACTGGCTACTTATCTCACAGGCAGTCCTGCTGAGGCACAAAGGGTCAGAGACCCTGACCACATGGATCATGGGCCAATGGGCAGGACTGCAGTGAAACCTGAAAAGGTGCTTCCACACTGCACACAGTATTATACACATCCGCTGGTATCAAATGAATGTTTTCTTTAACCTAAAGGTTTTTATTTCCTTTTGATTTTCAAAGAAAACATTCCCATGACCCTCTCATTTAAAAATAAAAGGTAAACACGTAACCTAGAAGACTGTGCCTCTTGTCTCTGATGAGTGGCCAGTCCTAGGCAGTATGTAGCCACATCCCTGCCCTGTGACTAATCACCACACAAGTTGTTTAGGTTCTGAGCTTTGTGAAGCAAGGGGGGCTTTCTGCCTACTCAAGACAGAGAAGTGAAGCAACTCGCGAATGGGGCGCATCTCCTCCCAAGAACAAGAGGGCCAAGAGGCCGCCAGGGGGCAGCAGGGGCCCGCCTGAGGCCTGACTGCGCTTGCGCAGAGCCTGCGGCGCCCCTGGACGGGAAGTAGGCGGGGCCGACCCAGAGCAGCTCGTGGGGAGCACTGCGGCAAGCTGGCAGGTGAGGCCCGCGGGGTGCTAGGGATGAAGGGCAAGGGTGGAAGACTCGGACTATGCTAACGGTCAGGTGGGGCATGAGGTGCATGAGGGTGAAATGAGACTGAGGACGAAATGGAGAGACGAGAAAGCACTAAGGCCAAGACGGGTTTCGGGTGCCTGAACCCGAGAGACATGGGGTTAGCAGTGAGCAAAAGAGCGGGGCAAGCAGCCTGGACCCTGCGGAACAGAGGCAAAGCATGGGGACCTAAGGACACAACTGGGAATCCATTGACCCTATGGGGTGTGACTGGAACCGAGGTTCAGGAGGGGGCTGAGCTGTGAGACTAAACAGTACCAAAGGGTGACAGTCCTCCGTTTTCTAGGATCTCTCAACCCCCACCCCAGCCCAAACATAAGGGCCAGAGGCCCACGGCCTGCCCTCAGCCCTCCCAGAGAAGGCCCCCTCTGGGACAACATTTTCATCCTGAATGCCTGGCGCCCCGTGGCTCCCCTGCGTGTGTTTAAAGCTGGTGTTTTAGTTAACGCCTGGCTTGCAGGCTGGGACTGAACCCGGTTAGATAGATTGCGGTAGAGCCTAGGTCATGAGAGCCTGGGGCCCCACCTTTACAACTATGTGGTCTCAGGCTGGCCCCTAAGCAAAGGCACCAGGCTGTAGGAATTTCTGCACAGAGACTAACATCTAGGGAAGGCCCAGCGGAAGGCGGTGGTCTCCTCCACCAAGGCCTTCTACTTGGAGGTTCCTTAGTAACAGATGTCTTCACAGTATGCCCTGGAACAAGTTCTGTGAACTGTACCCACCTGAGGAACTGAACGCGAGCCCGTCTCTACCTCACGGACTCCATACCCATATCCCTCCCATAGTCAAAATTTTCTCTCTGCAACCATCGGGTGGAAGTGGCCCAGTCACTGTGCATCAGAGCCCTCAACTGAGTCTTGCCTTGGTCATATCTCTCGTTTGTGACCCTAGAGTAGTACTTTCCCCCAGCTCTTGTTTTTCTCAGCTGCAGTGTGTCCTGATGACATGCACAGTTCTGAGAGGTAGACAGAACAAACAGTTGTTTTAAAAGCCATAAACCTTGCACAACAGATTAATTTTTAGAAGTCCTTTGTGATGTCACCTGGAGCCAACCTTGTCTTAAAGGCTGTCTTTGCTATCCGGTGTGCTAAGGGAATGTTATTGTTTCCTGTCTGATAGCTCCAGGCTTCAGGCTGCATATTCCATGGCTATTCAGTTTTGCTGAGCTCTGATCCATTGAAAAAAATACCAACCCTTTAAAAAGAAAAATGGCTGCATAGTAAAATGGCTATCCTTGTTGTGGCTAAATGACCCATTAAAGATGGATAAAGTGGGGGGGATGGCAGAATGGCCTGTTAAAGATAGCTAAAGTGGGGGGGGGGGATGGACATGGCTGGGGTAGAGAGCATCCTGAGCTTGCACAGGATTCCAGGTTGAATCTCCAGCACCACAGAGAAAAAAAAAATATTCTTAAAGTGTTTTTCTGTGTCCTTTTGAGTTTTTTAATACTTTGGGGTATGCCCCATAGGAATAAAAAAAAACTGGGAAAGAGTAACCCCTGACCTCCAAGGGGAAGAAAGGAAACACAAAAAGGACCTGCAGAGTCAAGACAAAGGGAGTGTTCCAGAACCTATGCGCATGATGGGACTGACTCTATACACACAAAGGATGGGAAAAGTTGAAGCCTCTTGGGGTCTTCCCTTTCATTCACCTTTCTCCTTGTCTACTGCATCATCTCCAAGTCTCTTAGTTTGCAAGTGGCAG